GGTGAACAATTCAACTGTCAATCAAACTGAGAATAACAACTATACTGAACTCCATCAGCCAAGTTCAGGTACATAACTGATTTTATTGGCCTGATTGAAGTCAAAACCCAATGTTCATTGCATTATTCATTGAATTATATATTTGGCATTGTAACATTTTTCAATGTTTCTTTTCTATTATTTTCAATATTCCTTACATCCTCATTTTATGATATTGGCTGCTTTAATTGCATTGAAATATTTTTTTGTAAATAAAGATCAGAAGTGTGTGTGATGAGACTAACGTCACAGTATCATCTGTCATTACCAGAGACTCCACGAAATTCTTCAACATCAGAAAGTTCATCAAGCTCAAATCGTGTGACATCCAGCTCTGTGGTGAACAATTCAACTGTCAATCAAACTGAGAATAACAACTATACTGAACTCCATCAGCCAAGTTCAGGTACATAACTGATTTTATTGGCCTGATTGAAGTCAAAACCCAATGTTCATTGCATTGGTGCGGTACATATTATTCATATTTCTGCTGGTGATTGGCCTATAAGGGACTGCATACACCAATTAAAACTTGCCTTCATGCATTTGGCAGATGCCTTATCCAAAGTGAAATTACATTGCATTCAAGGTATATGTATAAACAACTCATGCATTCCTTGGGATTTATGGTTTATGGATATTGGAGCATTTGCTTGTTTTTTTGTCAGAGATTACAGGAATAGAGAACAAACTGCAGATGAGTGACAGAGAAGTGAATCCGGTGTCTGGTGTGTGGGGAAGCCGAGAGGGGGACTTGGTGCCCAGTGCTGCTCTAAAAACATTAGTAAATGATCATGGAGAATTAATCACCTAATCACACACATTTTTAGGAGTGAATAAAAAAGCAGTTTAGAATTGCCTATATTCTACAGTCATAGTTAATGTTATTTGGCTAAGCAAGGAAAGTGTGCATGCAGACAATCAAATTTGCACACGTTGCCTTCCCAGAAGATGCTTGAACTCCTAATAATAACCCACAAAACTGGCACCTGTAAGTCTGTTTAAAAGAGACTTAAATGCACAATCCTGATTCAGCGTTTTTCTTTTTTCAGACAACATCCACTGTTGTAGTTTCACTGAAGCTGTGATCCGATTGGTTCTCTCTGCTTTGTTGGGCGTGGCTACAGTTGCTGTGCTGGTTTATGACATCAGATCAACACCAAGTGAACTGATCAGAACAGAAGAGACTAAACATTACCATCAGACTCTTGTAAAATCAGACCAACAGTATGAATTGAGCAGAAGGATGAGTTCCATATATGTCCAGATATAAAGCAAAACATCAACTGATGCTGTGCACCTTTCCTGTTCCTTGCACCGCTATTATAAGCTCTCGGTATCCTTGAAATGAATATCACAGAGGCAGTTGGTGTACATTTTTGGTGAATTTTTTTAATAAAGATTTGGTTTTACAGTAGCGTGGAGATTGTTTTTGTTATATTCGTTCTACTGTATGTTTATAACGTCATAAAACGATACAGTTCAAATAGCAGTTGTATGGATATGTGATTCACTGATTTCACGTGATACATTTGCAGGTAAGTTTGTGAATCGATGTGAAACCTGCTGTGGTCTCAGTTTTTTACATCTTTACAGAAGATGTAAAATATGTATAGTGCTATGAGCTGAGGCAGGGTGCCTGTGGGGGTTCCTGTGGCCCTCCTTCCCTCCCCCCTGAACATGAGCAGTTTAGAAAGTGAAAGCAAAGAGCGAGCGCATGCTCAAAAGCGATTACAAATGCTTGAAATGCACCCCCACCCCCGCTTAACGTGATTTCGTCATTCGCTGTGTTGTGCCGAAAACTGAGTGCCATCAGGAAGCGCACACAGCATGTTAAAGCTGTATCGCCCCAGTTTCTACACGTCTACGGCTGCTTTTATCAGGATCAAATGGCCATAACCTGAAAATACACATTACCTTATGTCCGTGCTAATAGCAGTTTTACACTTGCCAAAAGTGATTACAGACTCTACTTATTGAGTGAACTGTTCTTTCTACCTCAAAATGACTTCATTCATGGTTGTTATATTTGATAGATTATAGCTGATTCAGTCCTTTTTACCTGTTGAAATACCTTTAAATTGGACAATAAAATGCTGTTTTCGACTTGCCAAAAAGTGACTACAGCCTCTACTTATTGAGTGAACTGTTCTTTCTGCCTAAAAATGACTTGATTTCATTCATGGTTGTTATATTTGACAGATTATAGCTCATTCAGTCATTTTTACCTGTTGAAATACCTTTAAATGGCAAATAAAACCCATAAAATGCAGTTTTACACTTGCCAAAAAGTGATTACAGACTCTACTTATTGAGTGAACTGTTCTTTCTACCTCAAAATGACTTGATCTAAATTCTAAAGACAAGACTTTAATGAATATTTTCAGCCATCAAACCAACTTACTTAGCTCATAACCATAAAGATAACTCTTCAGGTGTATTATATACAATATACAAGTGTATCTACATTACACAGTAGTAGTTAACGGAGTAATTTGAAACTATTACTAATATTATTGTATAAATTTCACGATAATTTTTTGGATTCCTCTTTTGTCTAATTCAGATTGGCTGTGACATCTGCCTACGGTGGTATCGGTCGCCGTGATTTTGCCGTGACATCTTTTGTTGATCCTGGATCAACATTACTGTCCAAAAATATAGACTAGACCCAATCTCTACCCCTAAACCTATCCATAATTTATTCCTAAAATCAGTGTGAAATGATATCTGATTAAGAAGGGTGTAGAAGCACCTAATCCTGATCGTAAGCCTAAAACATTTCCTGAAAAGTTATCCCTCAATTCTGATTGGTCAATTGGAATGTTGTTCCAGGATCAACAAGGATGTTGATCCAGGAACGTGTTGTACTTGGTGAAATCACGCTCACCGGTGGTATCACAGGAGCTGTGCCAAGAGACCCTGCACAAGGAGGACGAAAAAATTGATTTGCGAAGCATGCCAATGAACACTACTGCTGTGTAATGTAGATACACTTGTATATTGTATGTAGTTGTATATAGTTTATATCATTGTGTTGTTCTGACTCATTTATTAAAATATCCTATGTTTCATTTATGAAAGATATGTCTGTAGGATACATGACACAAGAGTACTTCTAAATATGTACCTGTAATGAGAAATCATGTACATATATCCGCTGAATTAAAGAAGAGTACACCTGAAGACTTATCTTTATGGTTATGAGCTAAGTAAGTTGGTTTGATGGCTGAAAATATTTATTAAGGTCTTGTCTTTAGAATTTAGATCAAGTCATTTTGAGGCAGAGAGAACAGTTCACCCAACAAGTAGAGTCTGTAATCACATTTTGGCAAGTGTAAAACAGCATTTTATGGGTTGTATTGGCCATTTAAAGGTGATAAAAGCAGCGATATACATGTAGAAACTGGGGCGATACAGCTTTAACTTGGTGCTCACGCTCCTGCGGACGATAAATTTTTGGCATGACACCTGCTCTGCGCTGAGGCTATACCTGTGGTCTGTGTTAAGACACCATGACACAGCGTCTTGTTGCCTTCTAAAATAACAGGGATTACGTAATCCTAAAACTTTTTGCTGCTACGCTTCTTTGCACTTCTAATCCTACCATGCAGATTATTGGATAATGATCGCTCCCAACTGTTGATTGATCATTTCCCATTGACATTTTACAGCTATTGTTGCTGAAACTATTGTTAGATCTACACAACTTCATTTGATCACTTACACTAACCCTGTTCCACCCCATCGTTTAAGCATACAAAAAAAATTGTCCTCCATATATTCTTCCATACTGTGCCATTTTGATCTGTTTTATATTGTGTGCACTGAAATTCTCATACCATATCACCACACCTTCTTTTCTCTAAATTTTGACTTAAATGCTATAGAAGAAGAGGCAGTGCACTGTAAATATTGCTACAATTTTTAACATTAAATTTAACAATAGAGAAACATAGTTGCTGTTTAAAAAAATATTTAATTGGAATTACAGAATTACAGAATTTTGTGGTTATCATCAAACATTGCACATAGAAAGTTAATAACTCTGGGATATTAAATGTATTTCTATCAGGGGTTATTATACAAAAATACATGCAATAAAAAATGACTGCTTCACGATAAACCTAGATATTCTTTCATATTTTCTTATCTTACTTGAAGTCAACAAAGCACACTACAAAAAAAATAAAACCGTAACAGTATGTGTATATACATATATTTCCCCCCATATCATATGTGAAAAGATTTGAATAAATACATTGATTAAAAAGAAGGCAAACCTACATAAATCATTTTTTAAAATTTGTTCTTTACTGTCATATATTGAAGAACATTTAATGTCCATAGACATCAATGAAAGGTTCTTAAAAGATTTTTTTAAATGTTCTTTACATTAAGAAAAAAATTAAGTATCTCAGTTTAACATATTTCTGTCGTCAAACTATAGTATTATTTTAAGGGGTGGGGGTTTAATGCTTTTTCATGCATTCTGAGTTATTTACATTGTTAAAGAGTTGGATTCTCATGCTAAACATGGCCAAATTTTCAAAAAACGAGTTAAACGTATGACAGAGTATTTCTGTGCCAAATACACTCCTTCCAGGATCGGATACATTTCAGAAAGTTCGCTGAATTTGCAGATCGTTTGATACTGAAAGATGGAGTGGTCCCAGCGATAAAAGATCCCGCTCATGAGTCAGGACCTCAGGCGGTAAGTAAAACTGCATCAAACTTCTGTGTTTTGTTGGCAATCGGCGCGTGAGTATGTAAAAAACACAAACGCTCTCGTGACCCTTTAGCTCTGCCCATGGCACGCCTCCAGGAGCTCGGCTGTTTTTGGAGAGAAGCATAAAGCTGTATCTTTCTTTGTATTTTTTATTTATAATCTGATAAAAATAAAAAGAGATATGAAGGATGCAATACTACTATAGGTACTCAAGATTAACATGAGATTGGCCGAAACTGTTTGTATTATGTCCCCTTTAAGAAACTAAGTGAGATGTGTATCCAGTTGTTTAGTTAATTATGAAAGAGTTTCATACGCATTTCCCTGCCATCTAAAAAAGTTTTACATGTTGCTGAGTTTAAAGGCTCAACAACACACTGGTTCATTTTTCCCTTTCATAAAATCAGAAAAATGTTGTTGAGCTCAAATGCTGATGATGTCACAGTGATTAATATTGGTGGGCACGACTTATCACCCATTAACTTCATCCACATCCTCTTGGTTCAACAGCGGCATCTTTACAGTCGCTGACTCATTCACTTGTTTTACTGTGGATTCTGAAAGAAAATACAAACAATCACAGAAACTGAAAAGAGAAAAAGAAACAATTTTGCATGTACATCTACATATGGATAATGTTACAGCTACACAATCACAAAGAAGATGAGAGCTCCTAATTATACTGAAAAGTACAGAAAGTCAAAGACAAAAATCAAGTCATATTTTTACAATATGATATCCTGGTCTATTATTTACAAAGATTATTGAGACTATCATTTTAATGTTGGCTTGAGAAGATGTAGTAGATGGAGGGGAATATTTTTAGAAGGGACGATTTTAGTCTGTTCCTCACAAAAAGCATTTTAAGACTTAAGGACTATTTAACTATGATACTTCTATGGTGTTTTGTCTTTTTATTGATTGACAAACTGAACACAAACTGTTCCTGTTGGGATTCATTTTGTTATATTGCTCTAGTGTGACATTTCATGGAACCGTTTTAACCTATAAAGAACCTTTTGTCCAATAGAAAGGTTCCATGGATGTTAACTGTTCTTCAGGGAACCATCAATGCCCATAGAGAACCTTTATTTTTAAGAGTGTATTGTGTAAATAAATATTTAGCTGTTGAAATAGATATTGTTCTACTCACCAGTGACAGTCACCTTGAATCTCCTGAATGTGGTCTTTTCACTGTTGATGATCTGTAGTTTAAAATGTCCAGAGTCTGCGGTTTCGATTTTTCTGATGATCAGAGTTCCAGTCTTCTTGTCCAGCTCCAGTCTGCCTGTGAATCTCTTACCAATAGTCATTGCTGAATCCGCTTTAACAACAAGACAGTTTTCAGCTCCAAACGTCCACATTATCTCATCAGCTCTCTGTATTTCAGTATCAGTCTTTAGAGTGACAGAACCTCCCTTCGCCACTGACACTTTCATCACTACATGCCAAAACACACAGAAACAGAAATGCAGGAGAGAAAAATGCTAATTAGTTTAGTTTGCATTTAGATAAAATTCTAACTCAGTTTGGCATATTCGTAGATGACTTCATTTTCATTTTGTTTTGTTAGTCTTATCTTTGACAATCTCATCCTGTCAAGGAAGATATATAAAAATATAATAGAAGTAGATTATGCTGTATTAGCCTATTTGACGCAATGGATATTTATCTTGAATCTTCACTGATGTTCAAAGAAAATCACTTCCTCTTAATGTTGGATTAAAAGAGATGTTAAAATAAACCTGTATAAAAATGTTTACTGTTGTAAGGAATGTGATCATAATATATGTGGTATATGTGTGGACTTATATTTAACATTTAAATGTATATAAATCATGTCACAGGACAATTTCAAATACATGCAAATATATCATTTGCTACACATAACCTTATTTATCTGAAGCATTTATCTCAAGGCCCCTTTCATTTTTATAATCTATTTCTATAATATGAGTTGCCTTCTAACGTTATGCTTGCAGTTTGGTTTATTATACCACAACAGTAAATGAGTGTCTTTATAGAAATTTTGTAATATATGTTATCTTGAAAAGGACAAATACAATTTTATATCCATTTTTTAAATGGACAGCAATATACTGTATGTAACATTGTTAGACAAATTGAAAAATGTGTTTTATTGGGGTATATTAAAATTAAATGAACATTAAATGACCTATAATCATTTCACAGAATTATATGTACACAATTGATCAAAAAAAGGCCTACTATAAGAAAACCATAGTTATACAAATTAACTAGATGAATGCATTTATTTCCATTCAAATGGATGGAAACCGATAGAAAAAGACTAGGTTTAAAACAATCCTCATTCTGTGGGTAAACGTTTATCTCTTAAAGGTTTTGCAAGCATGGTCTAGAGCTGATGTGTGCAAAGTTTGGTGAAGGTCTGACAAACAACCTAGAAGGAGTTCGAAAAATAGTTATTTATACAAATTAGAATGTAGGATGAAGTTTTTAGATAAGCATAAAAAAATAATTTAATATTGTTCAGACTTAAAGCAAGAATTCAGAAGAAACACGAATTTTGATTCTGTCATACACGGTTGCTTATTATAGCGCCACCTTGAGGCCGATTTTCAATCTTCAATTCAAAATTCGGAACACATTCATTTTCACACAATGTACAAATATATCTATTTTTGTATTGGCAGGCCATCCAGATTTGATGTTATTAGCCACTGAAAATCTTCTGGCAGACATGTTTTTTTAAAGTATCTAATTCGTAGTAGAGGATATGTTAAGATCTCATCCACCAAAGAAGATGCATACCAATTTTCAACCTCATTAATCATACAGCTGCAGAGTTTTATTTTTAATTGTTGTGTTTTTGCTTGGAAGCCTGATAAAAAAATTTTTTTTAAAGTAATTCAAATTTCATTGCACTTTGTCTTAAATTGAGATGATCTAATCTGTTCACACAGTGCAGTATCATTGATCTACTCACTTTTGACAGTAACAATGAATCTCTTGTTGATTCTTCTGGTTTCGCTGCTTATTTCTAGTATATAGAGTCCAGAGTGATTACTCATGGTGTTATTGATGGTGAGATCTCCAGTCTTATCATCTAGCACCAGTTTGCTTCTGAATCTTTTATCAAAACCATCAAATATCCCATTGGTCTCTCCACTGATTTCAGCAATGAGATCGTTGTCATCGTGATACCACCACTGTACCTTATCATCTTCCTTTAGGACAGTTTTAGTCTTCAGAGTGACAGATTCTCCATCTGCCATTGACACTTTCTCCTCTTCAATTGGTTCTGCAGTGAAATGTGTTCATGAGATCAAGCTAAACTTTACAAAGAGATTATACATCATTTTCACTTTGTGACATAAGGTGCTTTTATACTTTTTAACTGTTGTCCTTAAAAATGTGTGTATCAAATATGATAAAGTTGGCTTGAAAGCTGCAGGCAGCATGTATTTATACAAAAACTGCAATTGCAGAAGTGTTGATGTTATGAAATTATTTAAAGGGAAATGAAAAATGAAAAATATCCCATGATTTACTCGTGTAGCAAATTAACTCTAAGGAGAAAATATTAATAATTATTCATAACTCATAATTAATTATTAATATTAATATACCTTTAGGATTAACTGTAGCAGAATTCATTTTAAAACCGAATGATCTGTTCATCCATTCCACCAGTCACACCCATATTTGGTGGAATGGCCATTTACATTTTGTAACAGCTTAATTATGCCCTAAATAAAGAAAATTTATTTATGTGTGCGCATGATCATCAGTGATCCTGTGCAGATGCTACATAGGTGTATATGGGTGCTTTCACACCTGGCCCGTTGTTTCGGAACCTGGCGCCTTTCCCCCCTTAGTTCAGTTTGTTTGGGCATATGTGAACACGGCAATCGCGCTCGGATCTGTGCCAAAACAATCGGTCCGAGATCGCCTGAACGAGACTGTCTCGGCTCGATTGAAAACGAACTCTGGAGCGGTTAGGTTGTAGTGAGAAAGCAATCCGATCCAACGAACCAGGCTATAGCTCTCCAATGTATGATGGGTAATTACGTAAGTTCCGTGAAAAGCAGTAGATGGTCCCGGCGTCCCAATGTGCATACTATCCACCCTATCTGCCCTAAATAGTATTGAAAATTACTAATATCACATAGAATTTAGGATGGATAGTTTGCACATTGGGACGCAGGCGATGTCTGTGGGTGAGCACGTCTTCGCCATTCAAAATCAAAGCACACCTTTTCATTTTATAATGCCGTCTTATTGCTCTTCTTCGTAGTAACTGTTAGGTGCATTTTAAAAATGTTTTCCCGACGAATCTGGGACTCCTGTTCAAAATGATAAATTAATATAATGACAGTTACAAAAAAACAACAACAATAAGCCCTCAAAGCTGTTGTCGTTCCATCTTGACGGATGACAGCTATGAGCGGAATTCTAGAAAATAAACCGTGGAACTTTGACCAATGAGAGAACAGTTTACTCGCACGTGACTTGTATTAACAATTTTGGTCCGTTTAGAAACTTTGCCGTGTGAAAGCAAACTGCACCAAGAATAAAAAGCAACATTGTAACCATTTTAATCCCTGTTTCAGAACAAAGCAATCGATCTACAGGTGTGAAAGAACCCACAGTGACGAACGTATTTGGATTACATACATTTTACATTAAAAAATATAAAGCTTGGAAGAGCCGGGATATTTTTATATAACTCTGATTATGTTCTTCTGAAAGAAGATAGTCATATACACCTAGGATGGCTTGAAGGTGAGCAAGTCCTGGGATAATTTTCAATTTTGGGTGATCTATCCGTTTAAATACAAACTATTTAACGACACTTAGTGAGACAATGTAGGAAATCTGCCATTATTTGTATGGTAAGTTAATGTATGCACTCAGAGTCAGGGTCGTTCAATAAAGCAAATATTTGTGTGTAAATTTGGCATATGAACATTTTCATGCAGGAATTTTGATTTAAAAATAAAAATTTACGAACAAGTTTAGAGCCACATGAAAACATGCATGTGCACAAATCATATACTCCTTGTTTAATTGTTTATCTTGCTGTATCAGCTGTAATACTCACCAACTCGTTTTTCTAGTTCAGAGATCTTGTGGCGATAGTGAATCACAACAGAAGCTACAACTGCACCCACAAGCAGAGCAGCAAAAACAATCCCTGCTATAAAACCTGGAGACAGACCTGAACCTGGAACAGCTAAAGACAGACTTGAGTGTGTAAACATACTTGGCAATAAAGCTCTTTCTTATTCTGATTCTTATACAGTGATTGTGATTATCTGAAAATACTGAAAAGATCATAAATAAATATACAAATTCAGTTCTTTGGTCACTACAGTGAAATATTTTATTTTTATATTTGCAAATTTAATTTAAATTTATGTTTTTAGTAATTTTGTTTTATGCTTTTTGTCTTTTTTTTAAGACTTAAGCTTAAACTTATTTATTTCAGCTACACTGTTGTAAAAGTTGTAAATAAAACTACTGATTACAAGATTACTGGAGTACTTTTTGTTTTTCCAAATTTCATGTTTAATTCAATGTGATACTTGCCATTTTTTGGAAGTGCTTGTGAAATTTACTAGCAATTTCTGAGTGAATATTGTTTCTAAACCAATTTTGTGTTATAAATAATTATATTATACGCATATCATTTATTTTATTTCAGCTTTATTTCAACTACCAAAACACTTTTTAATAATTCTAGGCTTATTTAACAATAACAACACTGAAATTGACTGAAAAATTTGTGCGATTTAAACTATATAATAAAATCTAATTTGAAAAGCATCATATCATCATATCACCCAGTCCTGTCAATTATTTGTATCTGTAACCATATAACAGTTTAATAAGTTAATCAAACACCAAGTATTCCTAATTGGTTCAAGTATCTAAATGCTGACCTAACTAAAGTCTGTCAATACTTTGAAATGCTTGCTTTATAAAGACTCACCACTGACAGAAAGAAGGAATCGCTGGGAGCTCTCGCTGCCTCTGATCTGTACTTCATAAAGTCCAGAGTCTGTGGTTCTGGTTTTCTTGATCGTCAGAGATCTAGCTTCACGGAGCTTTAGTCGGTCTCTGAATCTCTCATCAGCATCGTTTAATGAGGTCTCGTTAGTTTCCACATCAATTTTAGCCAGGAGGATGCCTTTATCTCCAAACCTCCACACGATCAGATCATCTCGCTGTACTTCAGAAACATCACTCTGTAGAGTGACAGAATCTCCCTCCATCACTGACACTGACTTCACTCCGTCTGTCTCAACAACCACACCTGGAAAACACACCAAATCAGAGCTGGAATATTTTAACACTGCTTTTACAGTAACGTTTTACAGCAAGTGACTAACCAATGACAGTAATATCAAATATCTTCGTCGTAGTCTTTTTTCTAGAGATGGTGAGTTTATATTGTCCTGAGTGTTTGATTCTGGTGTTTCTGATGGTGAGAGATCCAGTCTTCTGATCCACCTGCAATCTGTCTCTGAATCTCCCATCATCAGTGACATAAAATGAAGTCAGATCACGCTGTCTTGTTATTTGAGATATGACGGAGTCTTTAGGTCCAAACAGCCACAGTATAGTATCATCGTTCAGTACTTCAGTAAGATTTGTGTGCAGAGTAACAGAATCTCCCTCCATTACTGACACTGTCTCATCTGTTTCTGCACCAAACGCACCTGCAGAACATAAATGAACAATTATAGATATACTAGTAACCTCCATTTCAAATGAAAACACTGTCTGAGACAGATACTGCATTACTGTTCAGATTATGATACAAAAATGTGAAAATGAAAATATAAAAGTGATAATTATTGTAACCATAAGTTCTTCAATGTGGCAGATAGTGTGGTCCAAAAGGGTTACGTCACATTAGCTAAACATCACTGTAACCTTCAACACTGACTGAACTGTGTTTATTACCAGCACAGATGTAAACATACTAGTGTATGTTAGGCTAAATTTTGAAATCTTTTATTTCACTTATCAGATCAACTGTCTGTTAATGGAGAAAAAGACTGCTAACTTTTAGGAAACCTAGGCCTATGGAAGCTTGTTTTGGGCAATTGATAAAGAATAATCACACAATTCTGACTTTTTTTCTCACAATTGTCAGTTTGCATCTCGCAATTCTAACTTCTTTTCTCACAGTTTAATGATATAAACTCACAATTCTGACTTTTTTCTCAGAATTGCATGATATAAACTCACAATTGTGAATTTTTTGTCAGAATACACTCGTAATTGTGAAAAAAGGCAAGATTGCGGGGTTCAGGCCTATATCCTGCCATTCACAATAGCACTCTATTTTGAGTTTATGTCTTCCAATTCTGTGAAAAGTCAGAATTGCGAGATAAACTCGCAATAACGAGTCAGAATTGCGAGTTTGTCTTAAAATTCTTTATTTTTCACAATTGCAAGTTTATATTGCGCGATTCTGACTTTATAACAAGTTAATATCTTGGAATTCGAAGAAAAAAGTCAGAATTGTGAGATATACATTTTCAATTATGAGTAAAAATTCTGAATTGCGAGTTATGTCTTAAAATTCTCATTTTATTTCTTGCAATTCTGAATTTATGCTATCGCACAATTCTGACTTTATTTCTTAAATGCACATTTATATCATGTACATTTTTAAGAAAAGCAAAAAGTCAGAATTGTGGGATGTAAACTTGCAATTTTGAGGGGGGAAAAGTCATAATTGTGATTTAAAAAGTTGCAATTATCTTTTCTTTTCTTTTTTTATCCTTGGTGAATTCATAACGGTGCTTGCATTGATGTTTAAAACAAAACCAAAAGTAATTTCAACTTCAAAGTCAGAAATCCACTTACCGTCCAAAAGCAATAAGAAAAGAGACTGTAGTAACATTCTCTGTTTGTTTTTGTAGAGCTGTGTAGATTCCGAATGTAGCTAATAATACAGATAATCAATGAAGATTTAGGCAAGATATAATTCGGTTCCTCTAATCTCCACTGTGCTCATTCACGAGCCGCACCTAAGTGGCTACAACTGCGAATATATCACACAAACACACTAAACTAGCAGAGAGACAAGTGAGAACCGCGGTTTTTCCAAAAAAATATGAGTGACACTTAAAGGGATAGTCCACCCAAAAATGAAAATTCTGTCATCATTTACTCACCCTCAAGTAGTTTCAAACCTGTATGAATGTCTTTGTTCTGCAGAACACAAAGGAAGATATTCTGAAGAATGTGGGAAACAGAGCAGTTCTGGGGCACCATTGACTTCCATAGTATTTTTTTCTCCTACTATGGAAGTCAATGGTGCCCCAAAACAGCCTGGTTACAAACTTTCTTCAAATTATCTCCCTTTCTGTTCGGCAGAACAAAGAAATTTATACGGGTTTGGAACTACTTGAGGGTGAGTAAATGATGACAGAATTTTCATTTTTGGGTGAACTATCCCTTTAAGCAGTGCGTTTATCCTTGAGAGATATTGACGAGTCGAGCAGAGCACTCGCTTGCTGTAGAGTAGACAGACCCATCAGTATCCCAGTGGGCGTGCCCGCATATAACAGTAGCCCCGCCCCTTATTGAACTTGGTAAAAGGGGTAGGCTACCCAGATAGCAAAATACACTCAGGCTAGTTCCGGTGTCCTGACATTTTATCCTACCCGTCAGACTGTCCTACCAGGGTTTACTGCACATGCGCACATCAATATCGCATCCTTTTTCTCACACTGAATAACAATATTTAATGTATCTGCATTACTGTAAGGGTAGGTTTAGGGTTGGGATAGGTGTAGACTTTAATAAAACACAATCTAATAGGTTAAAAAAATATTTATTGTTGGTTTCCTGTAGCTACAACCACATAATTACTGTATTTCCATTACTGTAAGGGTAGGTTTAGGGTTGTGGTAGGTGTAGGTGTTAATAAACCATAATTTTATAGGTAGCATTTTTCATTGTCGAATTGTAGGCTACTACCCACTCTTTTAATGGGGGGTAGCAACATCTGATAGGGTAGCGGCATCGAGGTCCTCTGTAAATTTTTCATGTTCAAAAATAAAATGTGGTCTTTGACTGACTAATTTGCTGTTAAACTCCTCATATGAATGCCTGCATGACATGCATAATTCAGTTTAGACAGTTTGCAAGAATGTTTAGCGTCTCGGTTATGAAAATGATCGCTGCGAGATGCTGGCGGAGTGAACGAGGCTTGAGAGAGTTGCGAGTGAGGGCGCGAGAAAGGTATAACTGCAGCCTGGAGATCACCAAATGGGGGCGGGAACTCCAAAACGGGGTGGGAGCTCCAAAATAGGGCGTGGCTTCCTCCCATTGACAGACAGGCACATGACAGGCATGCGCACTTTTTCCCCCAATCCACTTCAGTGCAAACTCCGCCCCACAGCTGATTCTAAAGATTTTATTGGTTGTCAATTAAAGTGTTGATTTCCTACACTATGCTACAAAAAATGCTAACACCTAAACTTACCCCACACCTGACCCTAACCTTAACCAGTGAGATTGACTGCACGGCGGGATTGGCGCTGAATAGCGTGGTAAAGAAAGTTGCAGTTCAGGAGATAAACAGTTAATAAGATTATGCGATATGAGATCGTTCCGTAACTCCCAAACCGGACTTCACCGGACAATGGCACCCCCTCCTACCCTGCGAATTTCGAGATACCTACTTGGAGGGTGCGGGCTCACTTGTCTTATCCACTTAATTTAACACTTAAGAAAGTTAAAAAAGTAGGAAGTTGCAGTTTAGAGTCAACGATATATTTAGCTTATCTTATTTGCAAAAGATTGTTTTTTTGTTTTTTGTTTGTTTGTTTTAGTATCAATATCTGGCAACACTGCATCGCCGGC